AATTGAGGTGTGCGTGTTTGTATGGTCAGCTGGCTAGATGTCAGGAGTGATTTAAATGTTTATGCCTCATGTGATCTGAGGTATCCAGGAGTATCATGTGAGATGTTGTTTGCTTTCTTGTTCCTAATTTTAAACACAAGCCTTTTCTGTGGCAGTCTGTCATTGAGTCTATAAGCCACTTTAAGACATTCTCCTTGGAGAACTGTGGTCAGGGTTTAAAATTAATATTCCAGAGAACTTGGTACATTTTGAAGGCAGGCTAATTTATAAAACCAAAAAGATGACAGTTATTTGAGGAAATTATACTAGTTAAAAAGTTACCATAGTTGATATATATCCAAAGACACTTGCATTTCAGATAAAAGTAGTAAAAAAAAAAAGTACCAATTGATGGTCTCTTTGCCACATGAACACTGATGTATTAGAATGAGTTCTGTTGGGATTACTGTCTTTCTGAAAAATGAGAATATGCTAGAACTGATAGATCATCAGATCTGATGCAAACACTTTTTTTCTGCTGAATATGAAATCTCATTATGTTTCCAAATGTCATATTTCAGAAGTAAACACACGTATTGCACAACTGCAAATTAGGGAAGCAAGGGTACTGCTTGAGATCTTTTCTTGGACATCCAGTTTTAACTAGTGCTGGTGTATTATGCAGAACTTCACTTGCCAGTTATTTTATACATTTACGGGGTCAGTCTGCAAGCTTTAGAAAGCAAGAACTTTCTATAATGTTTCCAGCAAAAAGGCTTAGAAACTATAGATATTGGTATATGAGAGGATGAGGAGAAAAATTGCTTATGGATTAATCTGCCCGCAGATGCCTTCTGTGTATGGTCTGAAAGCAAAGTGAAATGTGTTTTTTCTACTGCTTTCAAATTCCATCACAGAAAATTCAGAAAGGTATGTCCTTATCCTACAGAATTAATCTTCAATGTGATCTTTTTTAATCTGTTACTTATCAAAAAGCCACTAAGTAGTTCTCCACCCAAAATGTAAATCATTAACACTGTTAAATTGTGTGGGGTGAAGACTGAAGATCTTGAATGTTTCTTTCCATAATCTGAAAAATTTGCGTATTGTTCCTTATAGCTTCATCATGAACCCTCTTCAGCTTGCCAAATACACTTTAGAAAATAAAACACGAGCTGTGAATTACACTGAGTAGCAGTTTCACTGTTAATGTGGAAATGTAAACATGAAAAAAAAGGTTTTTTAAATCTCTGCTTTATAAACCAACAGACATCACACCTGTACATGAGACTTTATTTTTTAACTGCCAGGATTGCATCTTGGCACAGGTGGAACTACCTCTTATCTTTCATTTAGAATTACATACAATTACCACTTTTGCACTTGTTCCTTGTAATCTCTTCAGTAAAAATTAGTATGTAATGTTTCTCATCTTCTGCTCTGAATTGGACACAAGAGCACAGCCTCTGTCCTCAAGCTTGAGAATAAAATATCTTAACCAAATTAAACTTGCAGTTCATCTAAGATCACTCCATTAGGTCCAAGTGAGATTTTTGTGGTTTCTCACTATCAGTGCTCCTGTTGATAAATGTATCTTGATTATAAACTTCTTCAGTTGTGAGTCTTTCTACTCTGAGCAGGAGTGCTTATGATTATTTGAATTCTGTTTGGAAACCTCAGCAAGTTCTTAAAACTCTGCTAACTCCAGATATTTGTCTAAGTCTTTGAAAGGTATCTTTGCTGGAAGAACTTGATTTTTACCCAAGGAAATGAGATTCCAGGGTAGAACAGACTGTCACTCTTCCTTTTCGTTTTGCATTGAAACTGAAGATAAACTCAACCTGTTCCGTCCTTGGCAGGTCTGCTGCTGAAACTGGCCAGCTGTGATTGATTGATATAAATAGAATGACATTCTGTTCCTTTTCTAATTAAAAGCACTGATAGGACACAGGCACAAGACTGTGGAACAAGCTGTTGCCTTATAGTTCTATAAGCAATAACTAAACAGCATTTTGTGAGGTTACAAGACTGAACTTCAGTAAACTCTTTCTAGGATGTGATGCAATACTAATCTCCCTTACTATGCTTTCCAGTATACCAGAGTCCTTGAAATATGACCTAAAGTAAACTGTGGTCAGCTACTGGGTCTTTTAACATTTCACTTAAGACTACAGAAATAAAACCACTAAAAACCTAATGAGAAAATAGGGGTAGTTAATAAAGAATTCCTGAAGTACATCTTTTGTGGTGGAGCATAACCTGCAGTGGTTAAAGGTTGTAAGAGTGTGGTTGTCCAGGTCTATAGTCTGAAGTTCTGTCCTTTTTCAGTTCTGCAGTAAGTGTTTCTCTGAAAGTGTATCTGGCTTCCCAGTCAAACTAGGGGTTCCACTAAAAGCTATTATCTCTTTCTTTAAACCATTGCTGAGTATCAGTGTTCTATAGAACTTAAACTGTTTTGATTAAATGATTTGCTGAAGGTGGTGGTGGGGAAAGCTGTATGGGTTGGTCTGTATCAAATAACTTCAAAATTAAACATTGACAAGTAAATAGGATACAGTTATGCACATCTCAAACAGGTAGGGGTGTGTGGAGCTGAAAGAGGTGTGGGGAACCCTTAAGAAGTGCCTAACTCCTAAAGGTTTCCAATACAGAGAAACTTTTCTGTTACTTCAGTATCTTTGCCTTTCTGGTTCTTGAGGAAAAAATGATTAAACATAACAGAATGTAAGAAGTTTCACTGGAAACTTGCTGGTGAAAATTGTAAGAGGATTTTCTAAGCTTAGTTCTAATTTAGAAATAACATTCCTGTCTCCATCTAGTGTTTAAAATAAGTAAATGAAAATTAAACTTCATTAAAGGAATACTGGCATTTAGTATATACCTTAAGAACAGTGCACTTCAGAGAAGGTGAAAATACAAGACCCTTTCCTCCAATATTCCCAATGTAACGTATCAAAAAAAAAAGTGCAAATCAAAACTGTTGTTGCATCCAAACCTGAATGTAAAAGATAGGAAAGTATGTATTTGGATTACTATGCTAGCCAACTAAATCTTGTGAAGCAAAACTGTGGTCGGAGGTGAAAATAAACATAAATGGAGCTGATTTTACTTTTCACATTTTTTAATGTCAAATTGATAGTTTGCAAGTAACTGTTTAAAGAGAACAGAAAGACTTGCATGTACAGTTGTAATACTCTGAAGAAAAAATTCTTTCAGAAAGATTCAGTTTGCACTTTAAAACACAGATAACTTTGATAATGTCTGAGATCATCTGTTTTTCATACCCAGGGCCTGTTCCTATATAGTATGCTCTTTGAAGTTAAGCGCTGTTGATCAAGAATTATTCTATGTGGTTGTTCCCCAGCTAATGATTTTTGAAAATCCACATTTTTTCAGTGGAAAATGTTCATGTAGTACTTTGATATTATGTAATATTTTTTTGTATCCAGTTACAAAACTTAATGGTATCTCTGGATGCAGTGATACTGCATATGAGGGCTACAGTATTAAGATGTGTATATTGTAATGTAAGCTGTTATGCACTTTAATGTTAAGTGTCTACTTTTTATATCTTTCAGTTCCGGGGGACTTAGGTAATCAGTTGGAAGCAAAGTTAGATAAGCCATCAGTAGTGCATTATCTCTGCTCTAAGAAGACAGACAGTTATTTTACACTCTGGCTGAATTTAGAATTGCTTCTGCCTGTCATCATTGACTGCTGGATTGATAATATCAGGTAAGACCAGAAATGTTGCTCTTTGCAGTTATCTCCTTTCCTGACGTGCTTGTACAGAATGGTTGCCTTAAACTTTCTTTTCTGGTTCAAGACCAGTGAGAGAAATGACTTGGAATTCTGCTAGACAGAGTAACAGGGTGGATCAGAGGATGTGACTCAGTTGCATTTGAGGTAGCTGTTCATCCCTAATGAAAAGCAGAGGTTCTCTTGGTTTCTTCCTGTCCTACCAGTTACCCAGTGTTGGTTTCAGCAGTTATCAGACACCTCTATAGGCTTATCTAAAGCAGAACATTTTCTGCTTTTTTGGGAAGTTACTTAAGTTTTGATGAGTCGAGGGGGAAGGAAGTACATTGGGCAGCTCAGAGGGCACAGGTAGGAGGAATGTGAGCTGGCACTTTTGCTGGCAGTGTGTCATTAGAGAGCAGTCTCAGGGGCAGCTGAGACACATGGGGTCCTTTAAGGACAGTCTGGAAGCCTCTTGCCAGAATTATTTTGGTTTAAAAAAATCACCTAATTTAAAGCTTCCAATTTCATTGTTCAGTATGCTTCACTAATGTTCCTGTAAAAATCATATAAATATCTCGACAAAACCAAGAAATATTTAGCTCGTGCAAATTAAAAATATTGTATTGGCATGTTGCTCTTTTATATGAATGTACTGAGCTGTTGTGTAGTTGTGCCTCTGCTTTAAGTTGTGCTATATGCCTTGCAGATTAGAGAGATTTTTGGTTTGTGAAGATCAGTGCAGATTCTAAACCTCCATCTAGGGGCAAAAATTTGCATTAGGAAATGGCAATTGTATTGATATGGTATTAAAAAAACGCAAACAAAACCTCAATAATATTAATGGAAACAACAACCCTCACCTAATGCTCCAGGTTCTTCATATCTCAAACAGATTTGAAAAGTATCTACAAAATATTCAATACCTCTGTGTTTCCTAATTGTTATTATCCAAGAAATATCAAGTACTCCCTTATGCTGGTATAGGTGTTCTAGCTAAACAGAAATAAATTATTTTTATCTAGAAGAATTTTTCTGGTATCCGATTTTCCAGGTATTTTATCTTCTGCTGCCACATTCTCATGTTCTTGACAAGTTTTCTTCATTATGTGGCTTGATGCAAAGTGAAGTGGTATAGAACTATATACAGTAGCTTATATTCTAAAGCTGCAGTTCAGCCACAATTCTGTATACTCAGTTTTATAGAGAAGGTAAGTCTCAGATTCTGCATGTAAAGCATTAAACTAATTAAAATAATTGTTTGCATTGTATAACCTCTTAGCCATTAGAGTACTCTTATCATGTCTGTCTGCCTCTTTTTTTTTTTTTTTTTTTTTCTTCTGGGTAATATCACTTAAAGTTCTTGTTGCTGAACTCAGAATATAAGATCCAATGAAGTTGAGAGTTGTCATGTGGTAATATGACATGCTTCATGTTTTTCTCTCTCGTCTTTTCTTTCCCTCACCTCCACCTGCCCCCAGGCTGGTTTATAATCGAACAAGTAAGATTACAGAACCACCAGATGGAGTGGATATCAGAGTCCCAGGTTTTGGACAGACGTTTTCCTTGGAGTTCCTTGATCCAAGTAAAAGGAGCGTTGGTATGTACAAGCTGTGTCTGAAGTATACAAGCTTTGTCCCTTGTATAAAGACAGACTAGAAAAATCCTACAACAGGCTACTGAAATGTGATTTCAAATTACAGTTCTGTTTAGAAGTAGGAAAACTTGTGGGTTTTTTCTGTGTAAGAGGGTAGTATGTGGCTTACTCTGCTTTTAAGTGTTGTCAGTGCATTGTCTTGTTTTGTGTATTGTTTGGCCTGATTGAGACAAGAAGATTCAGTGTTATTTAGTCTTGTGCCAAATTTAAGTTCTCTGGATGAAACTTGAGTAGGCACTCTGAAGACAGACACTTTTGGAAAATGAGAGGGATTGAGTAGAAAATTATGTGACTGAAGCTTCACAAGCGAAAACAAAATAAACCCACTTTATTTCAGCTTTGTTCTCAGTAAGATGTTCTTTGGCCTTAGGAATGAGTTAATGTGCTTACCACACATTATGCTACCATACTCTGTAGTTCCCTGTCTTTTGTTGGTGTCAGAATAATTATATAATTACATTTGTGTTGCAAAAGATTTCTGCATTGAAGTGTTTGCAGGAGTTTTTGTTTAGTGTTTTTGTAGAAGTCATCTTTCAGAAAACACTGAATCTGAATAAGCTTTTGTGAGTTGTTCTTAGCTGTGGCTGAAGACTTAAGTAATTTAATAGTCAGTAATGCACTGAGCTTCACATGCTTCATAGCATGGATTCCTTTTTCTTTAGGAAGCAATCTCCAAAAGGGCAGTAATGTGCTTAGTGATCATCACTAGATGACCCTTATAACTGAAACAGGGCCATATTTAAAATTGCCTCTGTACACTTCAGGGACTGTATGATAAGCATTCAAGACTGAGTGAGGTTCTGCTCAAAACTTAAATACGACTGTGATATTCAACAGGATGTTTTGACACTTAATTTTTCAAACTGTTACTAGATACATTTAATTGTGGTAATACTTTAATCCTACGTGTCAAAGCTTGTAATATGTAACATGTTTCAATATGTAACATTAGCCAGTCTACAAAGGTTTCCCTTCTTTGTTATTAAAGCATTATGTTGTCACTTAAGTCTTAGTCTGTCACCTGATAGATAGAAAAATAGTTTTGGAGTAGTTTCCAGAATTTTGCCCTGGGGTATGCTATAAGCATTTGTCTCCAAGAATAAATGTTGGTGAAGTCCAGGCCAACCTTTATGAATGTATTATATACCCTACCTGAAGTTAATTTGCAATAAACTACAGCATTAGAGTCCTAGCTTTTATTTGAGGTGTATTCTTTACAGTTCAAGGGTAAGACATGCTTCTACTGAGGAAAATTTATCCTTTCTGTGTATATCACATTTTGCTGCCACATTTGTTTGATAGATCAGTCAACTAGGAAGAAGTTTTAATAATGGTATTCTCTCACTTTTGGGGGACAGCAAGCATAACTTTTTGTTTAACATGCAGCTTTCTAGATTGTCGAAGGTTAAGACTACAGTTTTAATGTCTGTATATATGGTATCAGAGTTAATGCTCCCAGAACTTAGTTTGTTTCATGATAATGTCTGATGGCTGCTTCTAATGTTAATCTTTTCACTGCTCTGTGTCTCTTATCTGATGTCTACAGGCAGTTACTTTTATATGCTGGTGCAGAGTTTAGTAGACTGGGGCTACAAACGTGATGAAGACGTAAGAGGAGCTCCTTATGACTGGCGAAAGGCACCAAGTAAATAACATACTGTTCTTGAACAAAATTTTGACTCTCCCAGGCAGCAAATAATGTTTTGGGTCTCTTCTCCCAACCTACCTGTACAATTGTACTGAAAAACTTAATTTTTACTAGTTCTTGGGGCCTGGATACTCCTCGACCCAAATGAAAGTCCTGTTGTGTGGTTTCTTTTCTGCTTTAAACAACTTGCTACTTACAATTTGCTTAATAACAAAACAATAAAAAACCCCACACAACCAAAATGCATCCCTCACAAAAACACCCACCGCTCCCACTTAATATTGGAATTTCTAAGCTCTGCATTATTAATTCCACAGTTTAAAATAATAACCTTTTAAAGAATTGTGTTGAAGTTCAGCATTCACAATTAATAATTATAACTGTGTAACGTTGTATGTTTACTTTAGATGAGAATGGAGACTATTTTGTGGCCCTTCGCAAGATGATAGAGTTAATGTATGAGCAGTATGGAAGTCCTGTGGTCTTAATTGCTCACAGTATGGGTAACATGTATACCCTCTACTTCCTCAACCAGCAGACTCAGGATTGGAAAGACAAGTACATAAAGGATTATGTGTCATTAGGTGCTCCATGGGGAGGAGTGGCTAAAACTCTCCGTGTGCTGGCTTCAGGTAGGTAATTTGAGCATAGTGAAAGATACTAACCAGACTGTTAACTGTAAGACTGAAGGATGAGAGTTTAAGGTACTATGAAGTTAAAAATAATTTTTCCATAAGTGATGGCAACTTGATGTTTCAAGCCCTGTGACCAGACTGTCATTATTTATGTTCATGGCAGTGGACTGATTTTTTTTTACATCCTTTAACCAGGAGCTGTGTCCCCTCTTGTCCTCTCCTGACCTCTTTTCAGTCAATTGTTGCTGCTGTTTGGCTTGGTGTCTTCTGTTTCTGTCACTTCTGCCTGATTGCTCTCTGTTTAGTATTGCAAAGCTAACAAGGACTCCAGAGCATTCAGTAGTTTCCTTTGATTAAAGATCACACAGCTGCTTGAGGTTAGCATTAAGGGAAACTTGTGAAGGTGGTGAAGTGATGCCCACAGTACAAATGCTCACAAAAGCACTCTGTAGGTAAGGAAAGTGAATCTTTGAGATCTTGGGTTTAGTGTACTGGATATGCCTGAGACTTAAAAAATGCATAGCAGAGCATAACTTAGATCACTAAGTAACTGCAAATGACTGATGGAAAAAATTCACTAACTCCACCATGTGATACCATAATTATTTCATGTGCTTTGGCATTTAGTTCATCATGTTTCTGGCTTTTTTTTTTTGTAGCTTATTTCTGGATTGTTAGCTTTGGCTGTCTGCTTCCTAAACAAAGCTAACATCAGAAACTGGACTTCATCAAAATGCAGAACACACAGCAAGTGCCAGCCACGCATGAACAGATCAAAGAATACTTTGCTTAGCAAAGGCATTTGATTCTGAATAGAAGTGCACAGCTGGGTTACTAATTAGAAAACTTAAACTGGATGCTTGTATTGCGTTATACATTGTAATGGCACAGTAAAAATTTATTTCCCTTTTCCCACAGGCTTCATCTGACAAGTTTGCATGCAGGAAGTGAGCAGTGTTAATATCACCGTCATAAAATTCCACACAATTATATAAAAATCCACAGTCCCATTTCTATTGGATTAAACTTTTGTGCTTCATATCTTGTTTATCCTTTATAATGCATCTCATCCAAAGTGGCTAGCTATACAAATGCCTAATGAATAGTTAAATTTCTACTCAAATGTACTTATCTTTTAATCTGTACGGCTGTTGTACTAAATTCCATGGTTTAGAGCAGAAATTTAAGAATCCTGTAGGAAAGTTGAATGGACAGAACATAATATCAGAATGCACGTTTTTAGGCTAGTTCTGTCTCAAAATCACCACCATCACTTGGATTACATTAATCTATTACAGAGTTTCTAAAAGTTATCAGGGGGTTAGTATGCAGAAGAATCGTTGCTTTGAAGAAAAATTCATTGCTGCAGGAAAGAAAAGGCAAGCTATAAATGCATTCTTTCTGCTCTTGTTCCTGTTTATAATATGGTAATGGCTAGGAACTGCATGTCAAATCCACAGTTGTGTTATCAAACTGGTAGACGGTACACAGGTGGAATTATTTTCTCTAGATCTTCTGTGATACTTTCTGCTACTTATTCATGTGCTTTGCAGGATCAATACTTATATCATTACAATTCTAGTGCAAATAAAGTGAGGATGTTCTTCCCACTACAGCAAGCAAAGACACAAAGTTCACTTTGGTGGTTTGGTTGGTTGGGTTTTTCTTGTGAGCTTGAGATGCTAGTAGTGTTCTCCTTAGACATAATACTTTGTTCACTATAATACCAATGAGTGTTATGCCTGCTGACCTTAGCATGGTCTTTGCCATACAGTACTTCAGCACTTCAGAGAAAAGTAAAAGATTTGATAAGCATTTTGTAACAGTGCTGTAAGAGAAGGCTGGAATAGTCAGGTTCTGTGTTTGATTATTCTACTGGAAATAAATTTTGTACACATTCCTTTCACTGCTCTATTTGGAACTTGAGCTTTCTTTGCTGAAAACTGTCAAGTAGTATTCAGTAGCTTAGTGGTGAGTGTGCGCAGTTAAGTATTTATACCACACAGTAATCTGAAAAACATTTTTCAAGACCTTTGTGATTCTTGACGTGCTCTTCTGAGTTTCCTCTTTATCTGTTTCAGAGTTATACTAGCAATGTCTCCATATAATCCTCCTAAAGATAGCATTAAAGACTGTACTTTAGGTCTCCTTGCTGAAGCGATAGTGCCACCTTACAGAATTGAAAAATATACTTTGGCACTATTTCAGGAATAGCTGTTTTGTTTTCAGTATTTAAATTTTTATGGTGTAGTTGACCTGGATCCCTACATCCTGTAACCATCTGGACCTAATAATGGAAAATCTGATTCAAAGTTCAGCTGATATAAGAATTGAAGTGTGCCATTGTGATAATGGAAAATAGGTCTGATCAGACAGCCACCATGAAAATAAACTCAGATCTGTCTCAGGGATTTAAAAAAAAATAAATTTGTATCTAATAATCACTATATCTGCCACATAAGCAGCTTTTAATTTTGTGAAGATGCAAGAACAATGGTTAAAACATGAAGAAAGATGCATATAAATTATAACTTAGTCATGTGTTAGTTTGAGCCATCTTTGGAACAAACTGCTAAGAAAACAATGGACTTGATGTCTACAAAATTCTTGAAATGTTTTGGTCAAACACTAGTTCTGTAATAAGAGTAAGTCTAAATTTGGTAGCATAACAATTTTGTGATGTACTGGGCTTTGGATAATTTAGTACCTTTATTGATAAACTCTTGCTCTCTAGATTTATATTAAGAAAATATAATGCCTTGGAAATGCTTGGCCACCTGGAAACATTTCTCAAGTATAGCAGTTATCAACTGGTCTTTGAAGAATTGTTGGCTTTGTTTATAAAGTCTCTTCATGAGTTCTTACATGTGTGTGGCTAGTAGAATTTATCTGTTCTTTAAGCAAAAACATGACCTAGGTACCAGAGTCACTGTAAAACACATTTCCAGAAGAGCATTTAAGACAAACTTTCAAATGGTATAAATAATGCCTAATAAAAGCTGATTTCTTACTTGGCTCATATAGGAAATATTTTCACCTTTAAAAAGGAGCGTATTGGAAAGGCAGCAGTGTTCTTGTTTTTTCAGTCATTCATTCGTCAACTTGTATTTAAATGTGTAAGTTATCAGAAGTTAGTTTGCAGAAGTTAATTATCAAGACAATCATAAATAAGGAAAAACTCAAATAGTCACTGCAAGCAAAGGGAATAATATTTTTATTCATGTTATCACTGTGAATGGTAGTAATTGCTGCTGGTTGAGATTTGCTTTGTGTATAATGAAATTCCACTTTTTTTTTTTCAAGGTGACAACAATAGAATACCTGTTATCAGTTCACTCAAGATTAGAGACCAGCAGAGATCAGCAGTTTCCACAAATTGGATGCTCCCCTACAACTATACATGGTCTCCAGATAAGATCTTTGTAAGCACACCTACAGCCAACTACACTCTTCGGGATTACCAAAAATTCTACAGGGACATCAATTTTGAAGATGGCTGGCTGATGAGACAAGACACTGAACACCTGGTTTACCAGATGACACCACCTGGTGTGCGTATACACTGCCTTTATGGTACTGGCGTGGAAACACCTGATTCCTTCCATTATGAAAGTTTTCCTGACAAAGAACCCAAGATTCTTTACAGTGATGGGGATGGTACAGTGAACTTACAGAGTGCCTTGCAATGTCAAAAGTGGGTGGACATGCAAAAACAGGAAGTGGTGACATTTGAGCTTTCAGGAAACGAGCATATTCAAATGCTATCCAATGATACTACTATCTCGTATGTGAAAAAGCTGCTTTTTGATTTGTGATACCTTATGTTGACAGTTATTTCCTCACCTGTGATGCCTTCCCTTAAATGTGGGAAAATGCCTTTTAATCCCTTGATATTTAGATATTTGAATTATTTATTTTGTGGGTTTTTTTAAAGCTGTGTTCAAGAAGTTGTTTGGTGTCCTAAATGATAGCTTGTCTCTGATTTGTGTTTATGATGCTTCATGGTATTTTCACATTCTGCAAATTAGGTCAAATATGCATTTTGGTGCCTCTGGTGTTGTGTTTAAAATATCCATACAGACTTTCATTTGGAGACTGTGCAACCCTTGCACATACTGCATAGAATCATAGATACCTGAGTTCCTTTGTGTGGTCTTTGCAGGGTTTGGAGTGGGAGGGCTAGGGAGAATTGCTGTTTCAGATGCCCATAAAACAAGGGAATGATATTACTAATTTGGGAAGCACAGTAAACTTTTTAAAGGGTCTTGCATTTTCTGATCCCCAGTTCCCAGTACCTTAGTTTGTAAATGTGCACACCTGCCAGGTAAGATAGGGAAGAGGTCTGCCTGGTACTTTGTCATAATCCAGCCTTTCTTTTATTACAGCTTTTAGGGAAAAAAAGATAGATGTCTGAATTACTTGAAGCTTCTTATTATGTACCTTTTGGTGTTTTTGTTGTTTTAAGAAGAAATAATTGTTTGTTCATCAACTTCTAGAACCTAATTACACATAGTCTGGAGCCTGAGGAATTGTCACCTTGTGCTTTATTTATCAATGAGGGAAAGAAGCTAAACAGTAGCTGGTGCTTGCAATAATGGTAGCTGTGTGGAGTAGCACATAAATTAAAGTTAATTGAATGGAATACTAGCAAACAATCCATACAGTACAGAATTGCATTTCTGGGTGAAAAATGATCTCCTGTAGTGGAAATGATAATGGAAGGTGGGCATTAATTCAAAAAGAAAAGTGAACTTCCTGAAATGGAGTGGGGAATGGAAGCCAGCATAATACAGTATGAAATACAAACCTTGTTCTATGGCAAATACTTGGGCTCTGATACAGTTACTGACCAAGCAGTGATTGGGTCAATGTTGCATTCAACTGAAAAGAAACTTTGTTTTAAGACTAAAATTCCTTTCCCATAGATCGCAAGTTTCATTATTCCTGTTTCAAGAAGTTGCGATATGCTGTTCCTTCAATGTTTCTATAAATTGCTGAACACGCAACTCTTAATTCCTACAGTATTGTTTTACTCAATGTTTTTGGTTTTTGTTTTTTTTTTTAAAATCAACTCTGAACTGTACAGAAATGACAGCCTAAAGGCCACCATATTTACAACCTTGATTACAGAAGTCCTGTTGGAGAAAGTTTCAGTCAAAGCTTCTCTTGCTTGCTTTAAAACCAGTCACCCAGTTAGACTGCATTTAGTTTTCTGAAAACACAATTTTGAATGCTTTCAAAATGCTAGGTCATCCAAGAAAAATCTTTTAAGTGTTTCAGAAACTCATCAGAACTATTGAGGATTCATTACTTAAGAAGCTGAAGTTCTCTAAAGGGTAAAGTTTTAAACTGTTTTGGTAGAATGCATAAAACGTTTGCTGCCATTAAGTGTATTAATAAGGTGTGTTGAAATCACAGGCTTGAACTGTTGTTACTATAGAATGCAAACATTTTGGCACAGGAGGTAGGTTTAAGTCTTTAAGTTTAAATTCAGAAATTGTCAATCCAGAACAGCTTGAATTAGGGTCATGGATAAGCTAAATATCTTTGCAGGTTTTAACTTCCTTATGTAGCTTCATTTTTCCCCTGTATTTCCCCTATTACTTTTGTTGAGAGAGAGTACATGTTTTCCTGATTTTTAAAATGGAATGTTTATCTTGTCCTCAGTTGCTCAGGACCCTACAGTTCTGCAGCAATATTGCCTAGATTTTTCCAGAATAAGTACTCAGTTGCCCCAAGCCATTTGTAATTGTTGAAATGAAAAAAACCCCAAACCAACAACAAAACCCCCACAAATAACTCCTTTAGCCAAGTGTTCTATTTTATGCAGGGCTGTCAGCTGGATAAGCTTCAGGCTTGTGTTCCAAGACTGCTCAAAGATGGAGTCTATCAGACTGGTCTGACTCAATTTTTGAATAAACTGCTATGTTACTAGTTTACAACAGAAAGAAATTACAGAAGACAGCTTATCTCTATTTCTTGCTGAAGTAGAATGCCTGTTAATAAGCATTGGAATGAGTGAAGCTGGAGGCTGTATTGCAGAATACCAACATGGGCATCAAGGGCTGAAAAAAATGAGAAAAGAACATAGGTAAACAGTTCTTAACCTGATCTGGAGAATGTTTCTAGGATTCATTTAGACCCTTACCCACTAATCGGTGGCATTTTCAGTCTCATACCATGAGTTTAGCTTCAGGTTTTTTGTGATTTGAAGATCTAAAATACATGATTCCAAAAGATGCTTTTTTTTTTATTCTTCTTTCCTTAACTGCTTTTTTAATAATACTTTTTGTGCCCCAAAAGAGGAGGGGGGAAAAAAAAATCTCTTATTCTCTTCTAATTTTGGCAACCTAGTACTTTGTTTCTGAGATTAGTTGACTGTATCTTTTAACCTAGATTTGTAAATCAGCTTTCCATTAGTAGACAAGCCCTAGAGTGTGTCTCTTTACGTAAACTTGTGTTCCTTAACCTAGTAAAATGAAGCTGAAAGTTTTTCAGGGCTTTTTTTTGGTTGTTTGTATTTTTTTTTTTGTCACTATAAAGCCTTGTGCAACAATGTGTATACCTGAGTTCCAAGTACTGTGTTAGAGCAAGCACAGTGCTTCTGGTGAGATTTTGATTGGATTTGAAGGTTCTGCAGGTTATAGTTCTGTTTTATGTCCAGAACTCGTGATTCTTCTACCGCATCATCTTCAGCCCTTTCATTTTCAGTTTCATGCATATTAGGATGGAGTTCTTACTAAAAGTGAATGCAGCAAGTAAACTGCATTATTCTAGTCGTTGGAACGGAACCATTTCACTCCTCATGTTAAAAAGTGTTTACTATGGCATGTTCCTCTACAGGGCAAGAGTATTTAGCATTACTGTTACAGAGCCATGTCCACTGGAGCATTCTAGATTCTTGTGGGGAGAGAAGTCTGAAGAAATAAATCCTTTAAGGAGAGGAGAATGTGGCACTTCCTTAAGAGGAGTAACTCAGGTGCTTTGTCACACTGCACAGTTGAAATGTTTTAATTTACTGACATATCTTTGTTATCCTTAACACATATCAATCATGTCTCTCTCTTTCCATAACTTTTACTTGGTTCTATTCTGGGATATTTTCAGAAACCAAAAATAGTCTTCAGGACCAAATGTGTTTCTTATTTTTGACAAAATGTATAGAAAATGCTGAAGCAGCTTTCAGCTGTCATTGTAATACTTCTGAAGAGGTTCAGAGTCACTATGTGAGTCTGTTTTTAAACAGAAGGCTTCAATAACTAGCAATAATTGCAAAGGACTTGCAGACCAAAGGAAGGAATGTTTGGTATTAAGGTAGTTCTTGGAGCACAGTGTGTTCAAGGCCCTCTTAAATTCAGGGAATGTTTGGCAATGACTTTGCTGCTCTACACTTAACAGTATTTTGTACAAAACATTCTGAGACCTAGCATTTTATATGCTCTTTTTGTGTATGAATGTGATCAATAGATTTTGAATATTTTGCTGTCAAACTTTGATAACATAATAAAGTTGATCTAATGCAGCTTGTCTCCTGTTGTGAATAATGTGTTGTCTCACTGCTCAGATGGAATGTTAACTTGTTGCTGTATTTTTTTTTTCCCCACGGATTCTTGGTGTCTCACTTTCTTACAGTAATTGATTCTTGGTTCATCTTCCAAATGCACCTACTGTCTTGTGGTACATTTGATGTTCTTTGTTATTGTTCTGGAATTTATGAAGATGTGGGACAGATTACTCAATTTCTGTTGTTTCCTTGTTTGTTGCTCATCTTGTATGGGAAAAAAAAAAAAAAAGTTCTTGGTATGCCTCATGCTTCTGTTCAGGTAATCACTTTGAAATTAGTCCCTCAGTGCTGAAGTGTCCTAAATGCTTGTAGTTGCTTTTATACTATTGATTTCCAAACTGATCCACAAACCTATGTATGTTGACCATACACTTTCATGGTTGTATGAAACAATCTTTTTGCAATTAAAATACTGCACTGTGGCTCTGAAGAAACTTTAACGGTAGACAATGATTCTGTAGGGCAAAAGCTCCTGGAAATTATATCCCTTATCAATGTAATGTAAAAGCCTGTTAGGCAAGTGTAAAGCCTGTGGTGGCTGGCCTGGATGCTTCACTAACCTATAGTACAAATGATTGCTTATAATTCTTGAGAAAGCAGAAAAAAACTACAAGGCTGAATCTTGCCTTGAGGGGAAGTTTTTACATGATAAAGACTGTAATACAAGATGAGTGTTAGTGACTGCTGCTGCTCCTCTCTGTGCCCTACATCTCTACTAATCGGACATCTTGTCCCAGTACTGCTCTTGTTCTGCATTCCTCAAGGTTCATTGACCCAATATGACTGCAGGAGAAAGTGGAACATGGCCTTCCTCCAGCTCCCTATTAAAATGGGGAAAGCCCTGTACTAAAGCACTGTGCCAATTGTTGGAAGAAGCTGGGAAGGCTGAGAGCACAGGGAAGGGGGGACAGAATGACAATGGGGCCTGGCTAGAATGATGCCAAGCCACGTGAAAGATTGGTGTCTTGTGTAAAGCTAGAATATTGATCTAACACTGGTGCTAGCTCAGGTTGTGCATCTTTCAAGCAACAGTTATAGATGCTTATTGCCTCATGCTATTGTGCTGTGCTGTCTTACATGCTTACTTAAATGATGGGATTACAGTTTTGAGAAATTATATCGACTTTCTATTTTGCTTGAATTGCAGTTTTCCTCCAAAGTTCTAGCTTAATAGTTTCCTTTGTTTTAAGACTAATTTATTTTGTCATTCTGATCAAGAAATGAGAGGTAAGTGCAATGTTTAATTCCTGAATTAGCATTCTTCAGGCAAAAGCAGAATGTAGTATGAGATTAGGAAATCCAAGAAATTAGTATGCGATGTTTTACTCAAAAGATTAA